TAAAAAAATATCTATGCTTTAATCATCCGTGAAAAATATATCGCAAATAGGCCTCCGTTCCTTAGCAAATAGCTTATAACAAAATCTCCTTGCAACAATGTAAAACTCGAAAGAATCTTAAGTCAACTTAACGGAATCAAAAAATTAATTCACATTCTAGTTTAAACAAATATTCACATCCTCAGCAAACTTTGACTGATCTTTCGAAGTATTGAAGGATCTCCAATTTGTGCTCTCAGGAGATTAAGCGAAAAGAATGCCAAATATGAAGATTAAGGAAGCACTCATTTTAATTTGATTTAAAACTCGAAAGGTGGTTTTACACAAACCGTTACTGGGCAGCCCGACTGGACAAGAAATCATTTCTGTATTTCAAACAACATTTTTGCAGTTTAAAAAACTGAAGGTTGCTGCAATAAAATCCAAAGATTGGCTGCCATGTTATTTCGTATAACCAACAATGCTTTTTAGGTTTTGGTAAGGAAATGTAGGAGATAGGTTCTGACAAGTTTTCAAAAGTCCCCTTCCAATTAACGAAAGCGTTAGTCGGAATCATAAGGTTATTGCCTAGGAGAGGAAATTTACTCTTGTAAATGGGGTATGAGATTTCTAGGAAAACAAAGAAAATTCTAGGGATTTTCAGATAAAATTATAGGATATCCACCATAGGTGTACGAGATTTCAATGGAGTGATTTGCCCCACGATTGCCCCCTCAAGTCTTCTTTACCCTTAACAACTTGCTTAAAATAACTAACGTTATCAATATTGAAATAAGATGACTGCAACATTTATGTTGAACATTGGATTCGTCTCCATTTTTTATGTCTTTCCAAATTATTGCCATTATGAAGCAAGATGTTAGAATATTTGACATCTTAGGGCCCCGTTCACACTTAGCCGGACAGTTATCATTCCGTATTGATTTTAATACAGGTTTCTGCTCACATTATTCGAGATGGCACGTTCTCTTAAAAGGTAATCGACAAATACTAAAGGGACCTAGGACATCTTTAAGTTAAAAATTGACCAATCAGTGAGAATGATTCCACTCACGCACTTATTGATTGGCTAATATTGATTGGAAGATGGCTTAAGCCACTGTTGATTGCTTTTAATAATAAAGGTTTGACATTTTCTAAAGAATTACTGTCATTTCAGCCTGTCCCATTACGTTATGAAGAAAGGCAAAATTTCAGTGGTTGGATAGAAAGTTGTGGCCATATCTAAGCCAATATTTCACTCATTTAACTGATTTCACACATCTAGTGGTATTTCAGGGTGGTCTTTCAGGCTATGTGATCAAAAAATAATATAGGCCTTTGTGATGTCATTACATCAATAGTGTGGACAAATGAGCTAGTGTTTTGCTTCAATAACTACCCGCTATTGTGTGAAAAGGTTTTCGATACGTATACACTCATTTTTTTTATAAAAAACAAAGGTCGATGTTGAGTACTCCAGTTTCTTAATGTTCTGAAAATTTCAATACTTGTTGTTTTTCATATGAGTTTCTTAATTATAATGTCATGAATGATGTTATGAAATGTTCGTTACCTTTTTTATCACGTCAAGGGATTCGCTTCCGTTCCGATGCTGTATTTAGATGTGGGAAGTATATTTTTATCCCTTGTGTCTTAAGTTTTAGCCCAACAGGGCAATCTTGTTATTGGATTTTACAAAATTTCGTTGTTCTCATTTTTATTACGATTCAATAGTTTCTTAATTTTTTTGCTTCGAGTACTGAAGTTTCTTAATTTTTTCTGAATGTCCAGTACTCGTTTCTTATAGCCAGTTTCTTATAAAAAAATGAGTGTTGAATAATATGTTCGGACTATACCATTGTATAGAATAGACGTCGTAGAGAATAGCGAAATATTTTGGGCATTTCACAGGAAAACAAAAATTGGCGATAACGTTGTATCTTGTGGTATATCTACGCATGATTTTGAAAATTTCACATTATGTAGGTCCTAATTATATTTTGACAGGATCTATTAATCCATCGTTGTCAAGAAAAATTGGAATTTATTATTTAATTTGAAACTCGATATTTGTAATAAAGTTCTATTTTGTGCCTAAATATATCTTTAAAACATTCTTGAATTGAGAAGAAACAGAGTGGAAAAGATGAAAAATTTCTTAATCATGAAGCTTCGAATGAAGTAAGGATACGACACATTCCACACATAAAGTCTTTTTTGTTGTTATAGAGTTATCCCACTGAAGATTATTGGTGCTTAAATATTGAAAAAAAACTTAAAGGTATGCATTTCATGTTTTCAAACTTAATTTAGGAATATAGATACAACAGGCATGTGATACAACACGATCTTGTATTTTATGTAGAAACAACTAGCAAATTTTATGATAAAACTCATTATTAAGAGAATCGCAGTTAATATTTTCCTAATGTTTATCTTTCGCTGTTTTCTTAGCGAACATTGTGTACAATGTTCAAATTTATAAACAAACAAGTCAAAGACATGGAAATGCTGAAGTGATTCCCTGTGTGAATCTAGAAGTGCACGTGGAGGAATGTTTTCTTTAGCTTTTAAGAAAAGAATTGCGTGATGTTGTTAATTAACAAATAAACAAAACATAAATATTGCTAATGTTTATCCATTATTTAAATTTTGCACCATTAGGGAAGAAGCAAATCAGAAAATTTATTCGAAGCTATCAAGAACACACTTTTCGGCGAGACATTCTGTAAACAATGTCCTATTCTTGACAATAGAAAACATGACTATTAAAACACTCAAAATCTGCGTGAACAACTGCATAAAAAAGCAGCAACATGGAAATACGACAAGCACCAAGGGTGATTTAAAAATCTAATATGCCAGATTTTGCGTTCTAAAAGAGGTAAACTTGCTTAAAGGCAATCTGGCACGACGTTGATTGATTATAAGAACAAAGGGATTTTTTATTGTTTACAGTCCCCCTTTAATTTATCGCATTGTAAAAAATATGGCGGAGTGCTGGAATCGTGTATAGGCTATTGTTCCAGCTATTGTTCTCGTTAACCAATCCACAACGAGACAGATTGCCTTTAAACACTATTCACTTGATAAGGAGTTTAGGTTTGTTGTTTTGCGTCTTGGGATGCCTCGGATGGATCAAAACATGGGTAAACTGGAGGATTGACACAAAATTTTTCCGACTAGAAGATTTAAACCCGCAAGATCTAAACCACAAATTAATGGTTTCAAAACGTTGGGCCACGCTGCTACATTGTTTGCATTTGTTTTAAAGCAAATTTGACCTGTTTATACCTAATTTTCAGCCTTAAAATTCTGGGAAAATATTAAACATTTTTTCTCTTTATTTCCAAAACTGGTTTGCCCATTGAAAATACTTTTTCCAAAACAGTTCAGAATGAAAGTGTTGCTCATTTTATAGGTCTTTCAAAGTTCAAATTTGGTTTCATCAGTAAAACGTCATCATCAGCAAAATTATGTTTAGGCAGCCCGTCGGTGTCGTAGATCCTATTCAAAAATTGGAATCTACAACTGTCTTCAGAACGTTATTCTATGACAGATATCAAGTTTTAACAAATTTTTCTTTCCAGGACAGGGTCATAAGATATTGAAATCTATAAAGAAAATGTTCGAAATTGTATGTAAGAAGCGTTTATATGCTATTTTTCCATGCTATTTGATAAATGAAAACAGAAATATGCACAGGACGACCCTAAGATGCGTAATAAAAACAGGCGTCGTTTAAAAAAAACATAAATGCCGTTGTTGGAACAGTGGGACAATTTTTCCGGGAAAATAAAAACCTATCAGATGTTTAAGAGAAAAATGAGGAAACTCTTGAAAAATATGATAGGGAAAGACACAATGGCCAACAGCGATAACAAACACTTGTTAAGTTTGGAAGGTTTTAAAGATGACAGTGAAAATCAATATTATATGAATTAGGCCTGTCAAGATGAGGAAAAATATGCTCTAACTAAAATGATTAGAAAATACGACAGGCTACAACAAATCAAAGAAATGAGTGAAAAAAATGCTAGATTCTTTGTCTAAGCATGCGCAGTTAGATTTTAGACTGTCAACTGGTTTACTTTAAAGCTACCACTGCAATTTAGTTTTACCTCTTAAGCCCTAAGGGATTGTCTCCGCTGCAAAAGTAACTGAGATGCTTTATCATTTTTGCTGGAAGTTCTATTCATCTTTATCAAAAAATATATATTGACAATTTAAACTTTGATAATCGCGTTAAGGAAAAGAATGGCTCGCAGCTGTTTTGATTTCTTTTTATTGTTGGCAAATGGAAATTCATAAAACCGAATTTCATTTTAAGTTCAGCTGCATAATCAACTTTGTAGACATAATTCTGCAATACTCACTAATTCATTACTAATTTCTTGGGGGAAAAATGCTTCAGAAAATTTTTTACGACTTCTTTTCCTTTTAATGGCCAAACGTAGATGATAGTTAAAAAATAACAAAAATGGACTTTGTCAGTAGACAGGGTCGTAAAAACAATTTATAATTAATTGATACTAAATGTTTTGATTGCCTTCATCTCTTCTTCATACTGAGTAAAAATGAGACGCCACGTGCGTATTTTCTGGGAAGCACATAATGAGCAAAGTATTACATCAGATATTAGAAAAGAAACATATCGCGAAGTATTCACAAGTGACAGATGCCAGGGGATTTTGGCAAATTTATGGCAAGGGTGGAAAGGAGTTGAAAGATTATTTTGTATAAAAAACATCCATTAAACGCTGGGCAAATAGCCAAATCTCCTGACAAAGACGAAATGAGCAAAAAAGATTTGAGCGAAAACCAGGAATGAGTTTTGTCCAAACATAGCACTTGAAAAGATGTATGATCAAGCATTAAAAAAATAACATCAAACATCATTAATTAGGGCGCTGGTACCCTTGTTTTGTTGCTTAAACTAAACAAGCTATAGACTTTATGCATTTTGGTTTAGGCAACAAAACAAGGACTTTTCTTGAAGCTATATGCGATAAAATTACCTTGTCAATGCGTTCTTGCTCTGCTTTTTTCTTTGCGACTTCTGCAACAGGCAACTGGGCTTCAACTTGCTGATTAAATGCAGCCATACGGTCATGAATTGAAACCATTGGGGGTAGGCTTGTACGGGGCGCAATTTGCTGCTTTTCAGTAATGCCATGATTTTGATCTTGGGTGTCAGCAGTATGAGACACTTCGTGTTCTGTTTCGCTTGCCAACGGCTTCTCTTGGTTCTCACTTGTTTGCTTGTCTAAATCAACGGATTCTCTACTCTTATTACCATTCAAAGAGCTAGATCGCCTGATTGGTTTTGCTTTTGACTGCAAAGACGGTTTCTGTTTAAAATCGAAAGTATTACGACGAAAGCCATCATCTTCAGTGTTCTTTTTAGCATGAAAGCTTTTGCAAGTTTCACTTGCAATCCCCGATGATGGAATTTCTTGGCTAAATGGTCGCTCATTGGGTTTCCCCGCTCTTTCTTTCGACTCACCCATGTCTTTTTCATGATCCACTGCCATGCTCCCAAAAGAGGGTTCCATTTCGCTAACTGGTGACATTAAACTGGTACCACCTGAAGAATTGCCCCCCGGTCTTTCCATTTTACACTCTTTCAACTCATCCATCGTGTCTGTCTTTCTACTTGGAAAAGACTTCGGTCTCAGAGGCTTTGCAGCAAGATCTTTTTGCAATGGAGATCTCTGTGAATACTCCTCTTTGCCTTCCTCTTTGCGATCTTTAACGGAGGAAGACGAATCCTTGTATTCAACACTTCTATTATCTACGAACAACCTGTTGCAATCGTCTGTACTCAAATCTGCCTCACTCTTCTCTTCCGATTGCTTTAATCTTTGCTTTGATAAACAGCTTGTGTTAACAGCGACCTCTGGCTCCTCCGCAACAGACATATCCTCCTCAGGATTTTTTTCATGCTTTTCTAACAGCGGCTCCCTCTCTCCACAGCCTTCACTCGTTGAGGACATCTTCGTTAACTTCCTTTAAAGAAATAAATTTAAAACCTAATTTCAGTTGCTTGTATGCAAAAAATCTTAAATTTTTTTAATAGAGATTTTGAAATAAATACTCTTTAACTTACAACTTCAAGCGTATTTAACTGTAAAATCCACAAAAGAATATCTCAACATCTTATTATTAACAACATATTATGTGTTTTCAAAATATTGCTCATTCAACTGATTTGCTTAATAGATAAAGTGAAGTATACTTTAAACAATCTTCTACTGAAAGCTGAGTAGATAACAAAATCTCTTTGTGATAAAATATTGAGAGGTTTGCTCTGTTAATATTTCATCGCCACAAGATCACTGATACTGAAAAAGCCACCGGCTAACGCGGTGTCTACATGCTAAAGAAAGATTCTAATTATAGCTTTCGTGTGGTTATGTTGGTTGTAAAATGTACAAGAATTGTAGCGGCGGAGCAAAGATGCAAGGGGTGATCTGGAATATCATAGATGTATTGAAGACATTACATCATTGGCAACATACATAAGCTTTGCAGACGAAAAAATGCTGCATTAATGCTCTGATACAAACAGCTGTTTTTTAACTAGGAAACGGGAATAACCATTGAAACTACGTATCAGATCTAAAAGAGAATGAATGCTGTGTGGTCAAATGAAAAATGGAGAAACGCTATTCCCGTGAATTTAACTAGCCTTGAACATCTCGAAACCAGCTTTTGAAGAAGTGCCATTAAATTTCTTATGTTTCTAAAGTCAAACAAAGTTGACGGTTACGGATAAGTTTCGTGCAATAGTCCAGAAATCCGACGAAGACGGCATGAAGATGCCAGCCGCTGATTGCCTCAGTATCATAAACCGGAATAATGTTGCGAGCAACACAAAGATGATATTAAGTCAAAATTTTCGTAACATGTTGAGAGAGCCACCGAGAGTGACTAGAAGATGACTAATGCCGGCTAATCTCGTTCGTTCATCAAGATAGCTTATGACAGCGACATAAAGATTGCAGTCGCTGGCACTTTTCGTACCAATGAATGCTAACGAGAACGTCACAAAGATTATAGTTGCTGTTCATTTGCGTTTCATAGTCATGAAAGCTGACAACAGCGACATAACGATTAAAGTTGCTGGCCATTTCGAACAATTGTCAAGGAAGCTAACGAGAGCGTCAAAAATGGCAGTCCAGGGCTATTCTCATATCGTAGTCAATGCAGCTGAGGGGAGTGATAAATGCTGGCTATTTTAGTAACATATTCAAAAAAGCTGACAAGAACGACATAAAGTTAAAGTTGCTGGTCATTTTCGTAACATTATAGTGAATGCTGACAGGGCGGAACATTTTGCACCATAGCAGTTTGTACCAAGTTGCTGGCTAATATTGTACCATAGTCAAGAAAACGAGAGCGATATAAAGTTTTATTGTATTGTATTGTATTGTGAAGTTGACAGTGGCAGGGAAGATGACATCGTCTGGCTTTATTGGTATCATAGTCAAAAAGCTGAAGAGAGTGACATAAAAATGACCCTTGTCGAGAAAGCTGGTGCCAGCAACATGAAGGTGACAATTTCTGGTCTCACTTGTTGGGGATACGAACGGCCAAAGTTTAAAATGTAAACGAGACTTTTGAAAAATGTATTGATGGAACATGCGCAGTAAGGTTCGGGAATGCCAGCGTTTTGGAGGGAAAGTTTGTGAAACTTCTATCTCAACGCAAAGTGAACCGAGGAGCGATTCTAAGCGAGTTAAGCATCAATATTCAACAGACGAGCAAGGGAAAAAAGTTTCAATTGACCATACACTCTTAAAATTGTTCTCTATGCCAGGATGCTGTCAGTCTGCATTAGGCCTGTATCGCAGCTACGCGTAACAACCAGAATCGCAAATTACCACGAGGAAAAATCACTCCGTGGAAATCGGATGCACCTTGGTTGAAAATCCCATTGTTTTGTTTTTGAAAGCCCCTGGAAATCCGTTTGTTTTCTTGGAAATCTCACACTTCAAATTCTGATGATAATGCCCCTTCTCCTTTATCTATTTTTATTTGTTTGAAACAACTGCTTTGCTGCAAATTGGATAGGAGCAAGAATCTTTGTGAACACGGTATCCAGATTGAAATTGAAATAACTTAAATTTTGTGCTTTAAAGGACCCTGAGTCCCACATACAGCTAATAACCTGATAAATTTTTTATACTGGGCAGGACTATTTGGAATTGTTGCACAAAATTGTTGCTTATGTCTTTTTCTAAATAAACTCCTCATGTCAAGAAGCAAAGGTCTTATGCCAATGGCAAGTTCTTAGAATTTGTTTAAAGAAAACATCAATTTGGTTACTAGTTTTTTGCAAAGTATGTCCATTAGGTAGTCTAAAGGAACCCAATGGTTGTTATTTGTAATAAAAGGGAAACCCCAGTTGATTGCCAATTGCACCAAGTACAAAGTAGGTATTTGGCACAATTTCAGAAACATATTTTGCTGTATCAATGGAAAAAAAACAAATGAACTTAGAAAGTTACCATTGGGTGCATGTCCACAACTGTCAGGGTATATAGATCAAAGTATTTATAATTAATTTGATTTCCAACAGCAGTGTATATTTTGATTTTGTTGATTCAATGCATTCTTTTCCGATGATGATTTGATAAAACATTGATCATTCATCACTGCATAACATCCTTTTATAACTACAGCATGGACTGCACCATAACTACAGTTTGTGCAAGTAGTGTATTTTCAATAATACTCTACTACATTTCCTTTAGAACTATTTGCTGAATAGGGAGTAACACTACAGGCAGCACCCCTCCCCCTAATATAAATTTGTTCACCAACACTGTAACTCCAGTTCAAAGTATGAAAGACAGAAGGCTTCATTCTAATGCAGAAAGATAGAAGAGGAAGTTTGTCACTCTCTCTGTTATTTAGAAAGGCTGCATGCTTCAAGTAGGCAATTTTTATAAGTTCAGCAGTCAAAAGATAGTGCTTAAAATGCTATAGGTTACCTCATAAGAACCAATAAATTATGTTTCTATTACTTGAATTTTCCTTCACTTTCCCTAATAAATCAAGAACATATGGCATTCACTGAAGTTATCTGATTGACCATTTCTCATTTTTGCAGATGTATGTGCATGATTTAAAGGGAATGTTTGCTTAGCTGTGAATACCTTAAAGTGCCCTTAAGTTTCCCATTTTGATAACTGAAGTAATCTTTCACTGTTCTGTTCAGTGACATGCAAGTTAAAGAAAAGTTTTTAATTCGTAATTCAGACATTTTTGAATAAAAAAATAACATTTGGTTGATCCAACCCCACCAAAAACTTTTTTATTCTAAGGGGTCATTATTTAAGACAGGCAAAGGGATTTCTTATGATGAACAAGTCATATTTTCAGAATTCTGGTAATCTCAATGTTACAGTACCACTTCCATTTTTGGAAGTGACAAATAACATCAAAAATATGACTCAAATTAGACCAGTCTATGATATGTTCAAATGAGTAAGGGTTTTTCAGTAAACAGCATCAGTTCTGCCCCTGCCTTTTTCCTTGCCAGTTGTTTTAAATCATCATATTTCAAACAACCAAGAACACTATGCAAATTTGAAATTATTTCAGAGTTTAGATAATAAACTAAACTGGCTAATCCGGCGTCAGCGACAGAAATAAGGGGGGGATAAATCTAGAAATGAAGATTGTGAATACTTTGCCTTTCTTTACAATCAAAGACTTGCGGGAGTGGGGGTAAATTTGGATAACTCCGCTGCAAGCAGGGGGTATTACAGGGCCTCTGGCGAAGGGGGCCATGGGGGGATGCCATACCCCCACTAATTAGCGAGACAATAACTTTTTTAAAAAATTTTGTTATGATTGTTAAAATCTCCCTTGCCCCCCCCCGAACTTTCCAACCAGCGTCGGAGCCCATGCGTTATCTAGTTTCCTACGGATTTGTTGGTCGTAATTGAGCTTAGAGGCTTAGATAACCGAAAATATTAATATTAAAGCTTTGGTTGACATTGAAGCTCTGCTCAATGATGCAATTTCATTTATGTTGTTAGGCCCAGACGAAAAATATTTTTCCGTTCAAGATTGTGTATAGCCAACATAGTTCCCAAATTTACAGTGATAATACCCGATGTCCTTTTTATTCGATTCACAGTCCTCACTATAACAAGATATCTTGATAGATAAACATAACGGAACAATTCTGCACCCGGAACCCCGCCATGATAATTCCTTCGGTTCATAATAAATCCAGCTACAAACACAAGACTAATTTCCTGTGTGCTGTAGCCTAATTTTGCTTAGATTTCCACTCCATCTAGGCCCTTTACAAGAAAGGTACTTTATAAACAACAACAGAACGATAAAACATCGTGCAACTCCAGTTTCATCCAAGCGAGTGAAGCTGCGAGAGCGAGATATGAAACCAGTATTTCGCGGCAAAATGGAAGCAACTGCGCATGCTCTATTAATACACTTTTCTCTGATTGGATTTAAACTTTGAGCGACAAACAAAAGGAAAGACAATAGCCGTTTCAGCTCGTATCCCCAACAATCACAAGAAAGGTGATTAGAAGCAAAACAGTGGCCAAGTTACAGGCCACCTTGTATCCAATATAGGTGGCTCGAGAGAGTGTTGTATAAATAACTCGAGAGAGAGACGGATTTTGAAAATATTTCAACTAATTTAAAAGACTTTCCTGCTTATGCTCCAACAACGCATCATAAATTTGGCAGTTTATAAAAACCTTTGAATTCGATTTCTATTTGAAGTAAGAAGTATTCAAATTCTATATATCGCATAAAATGCAAAAATTTTTTTAAAACGTCAGATAAATAGCATTCAGATGAATCTTCCCTGTAAAACGATGAAGGTGCATTTCTTGTATACACAGAGTAGCAGTTTGGTCTTGAGCATAAGTCTGGAGAAACTTGTACTTCAATGAAAAAGATTCTGTCCACGGAGTAGTAAGAATTACTTACTTACCTGTAATTACTAGCAGTAAATATTCAAAAAGTGATGATTTGATGATTTACTCACAGCAAGTGTTTCGAGATAGGCAAATTGTGCTCACGGTAATACCTAAAGTTCAAAGCGCTATTTGGTTGCAAGTACATTGTATTTTAGGTGGACAGTAACAAAATTTGTAGTTTTTAAGCAAAAAGAACCCAAAGATTGAAGCCGAAATTTCAGCTAGAAAATAACGAAATTTCGTCCTGAAAATTACGAAATTTCGCTCTGAAAATCACGAAATTTCACTCCAAAAATCTTCAATGAATCTATCAAAATAAGAACGATGATGTGTTGACTGCTGTTAGTCTAAATAGAATTGTCTTTGATATGCTGTTGTCAATCCTTAAGCAACAGCTAGCCCCCAGGCGCATTAGTAATTATCATGGGTCTCTGTCCAATTGAATTCTATTCAGTTCAGCAATTTGTAAAGTTTACCTTGATTGAGGCTTTTCAATCGGGCTCAGGCATTTGCTTAGAAATCTGCTTCCTTGCAATTCAAGAATGGACAACTTTAAAGTGATAGTAGTTTTTTCGGATAAAATGTTATAGACATGTTATAGTTGCGACTCGGTTGCACACATGTTGAAATAATTGAAAAAATGCAAGCGAGGAGAAAGCTGGTGAGATAGGAAGGAAAGTGAAATAAGGTTGCAAAAATTCATACTCAAATCTCATTAGAGTATCACTGGAGTGAGCGTGCTAAAAATTGTTAATGTATAAAACAATTTGAACTAGCAAAATCTTTACATCAAATTTGAAGAAAAATCAAACTTAAAGAGCAAAGGCAGCACAGATTTTATAATGGATATAAAATACAATATGATGAAAAATATCAAGAAACACACCTGCAAAAAGTAGCCTAAGCTTATCTTGTGGTGATCCTTCCACTTGCTGAAGCATCTGCCAACTTGTATTCACCTTTCAGCTTTTCATAGCAAAATTAATGCAATATACCAAAATGACAACGTCTTTGTTCTTTGTTGTAGTATCACCAATCGGAGATATTTTAAAACGGGGGGCACCAATTCAGCTTCAGCGTGCAATACAGAATATAGTTGTGCGTAGAAGGATGTCTTGACGTCTATTCATCTGTCCAAAGCCACGATAAAAACGGACAGACGAGCCCAGACGTTACCTAGTCTGCGTTTTGCTTTGTTTTAGACCACCTGGCGCACTTTTTAGGAGTAATTAATGTAACAAGAAAACACCAGCTAAGGACGTTAGCTAATACAGAAAATCATGAAACGTTACTAGCAAAAAGCAATGAGAGCTTGTGTCAGTGCCTTATGCTTTTGTAGCATGATTTTCCACGCTTACATACACAAAATCGAAAAGCTATAGAATGATACTATTTCTTATCACAACAAACTAGAAAGGATTTCCTATAATTTCAAATGAACACTTGTAATTGTTTTGGGAGTGTAAACTTTCTAAAGATATTTATTTCAGAAAATACTTTGGAAGAAACTAATAAATGAACCTATGTCATAGCTAGCTTTCAAATTTGAGAGGATTTTAAAAACTCAGTGAAGACATTCAGAAGCTGTACAAAGATTACCACAGCTTCACTGCTATGTCAAGTTTTTATTCTTTTTGATGACATAAAATATAACATTTGTTTGCATTTTTCAAGTCAGAGATGTCATGAAAATCACGAGAATATAAATTATGTTGAAATGATGAATTCGGTTGAAAACGTGAGGTTGACAAATGAAAGAAAATTGGCGTTTGAATGAATGGATGATTAGTCTTGCACTCGGTCTTGCATATTGAGCCCTATTTGGGCATTTTCTTTCTGACTTCCGCTTATTGGCTTAAATTCCTTCATTTAACACTTAACAGGTTTTGAAAGGTTAGTATATGACAAACAAATACATAAATGTACTTGATACGTCGTTATTTATTTTAAAAAAAATTTTCCTGGTACAATTTACTTACATTGATCATTATTATAGCATCACATTGTACCGCACGCATTTTAGTATATTTATTGTATTAATATATACCCTCGTTTATATATTATTAGCCTTGCATTGGGATTGATTGATTGATTGATAGAAGAGCTCATGGCCGATCATAGAGAGTTTGCATAAATTTTATTACACTGATTTGCTATTAATCAGAGGCACTGATTCAATGATAACGCTGATTGATTGATTGATTGATTGATTGATTGATTGATTCTTGATCTTTTCTACTTCTAGTTACATTGAGCATCATTTTGAATACATACAATATCCACCCTTTATGTATTTGACTAAATAAATCTAGAGAAAAAAATTAGCGGAAGAAATATCTATGAGACATATCCTTTGATGTCTATGAGACATATCCCTTACATATGAAGTAAAATACCTATAGGAAAGTTGTCCCTTGACCGCATTAAACGTGAAACTTGGAGTAGCAACTTAAAACCGTCCGCTCTATACACCAAAAGTGTTTAATATATTCATCATACATAGAGGGCGAGTGTGGAATGAGAAATATTTTCCATTGTTGAGAAGTATTCGTTGTGTGGTAGTAACTTTACACGGAACCATTCTCGTACCTTACTAAGCTTGCCGTTTTTAGTTAGGTAGGCACTAAGAAGGCTAAAAGCCCAAGTACAATCTAAACAGCAAAGAAACTAAATAGTAAAGAAAGGTATCACGAATACTGACTACCCAAACCATCTTTCGGAGAATCTTGATGATATCTCTGCCACAGCCATTCTTTACCGTATAAAACTGGGCTAAACTACTAAACCACCCTGAGTATTAATGTCTATGCTAACACCTTTATGATAAGTAATGCAATATGTATGATTTATGCCAATAGCAAAGTCGCCTTCAAATCACAACAGAAATATGTTGATGATTACATGGCAGGCTAATCTTCGATAAACGAAATCTTTTGCTGAATGCCAAGATAGTAAATCAAAATCCTATTAAAACGTCGGTTCTAAAATATAAAAAGCCTGGAATCAATTAGCAAGAAAGCGATATCGTAGACAGAATATCATGTGCAAAAATATAATTCATGATGCAGCTGTCGGGTGGTGATAAATTTGCAGAAGGCTTTTTAAAACAACCAAGATTTAGTTGGAAGTGTTATAGAGAAATCGGCGCCGTGTAAAGTAAACTACGGACAGACAAGCGACTAGCGATGATGAATAAAATGTCATTCTTTTATAACATGCATCGTATCAGATTCATTAGCAATTCTTAACGTCTGTCTAAAGCAGCTATTTTTGAAGAAACCCATATTCTGGTCAGATTGTGTAAGCGGAGGTAAACAAGGGTTCATATTTAAACAATGTTAACGTCATTTCGAAAGAAATTTGAATGCAAAGAACAGATCATTGACGGGAGATATCGTAAAAGAAATTAGGAAATTTGAATGTTGTTTTTAGCAACTTGCATATAGTAAACGCTCTAGATAAATCAAACTCCAAATGAAACGAACTTTCGCCATAAAGCACCAAATTTTAATTTCCCTTGAACTTCCTTATCATCCCTGGTTAAATGAGACTTTCACAATCAGCGACAAATTCTAGTTCACTCTGAGCTAAAGTAAAAATGGGATTTTCCTTCAAGTGTGTTTTTGAAATTTTCCACTGCTTAGCGAAGTAAATTTCGCATTCTAAAGATTTCGAACTAAATTAAAATCTTTGGAACATATTCCTTCCGTCATACTGTGGGCGTATTTCTAAATACAAATGTCTGGCAATTATAAGTACCGGAGAACCTGCACGATGATCCATGAACTATATAGAAGAAGCAAGCAAACTTAGAAAATCTTTATAACTTGCAAAAATCTCTAACCTAGACTTGCAAAAGCGTAAAATCAGTGGCAAAAAAATTTCCACACGAATGTAATTATGAACCAAACAAACGCATTCAAGAACTTTTATGTCACTAGAGACCTTGAAATTTCAGTAGAAACTCCTGCCATGGTTCAAATCTTAACCTTTTTTTCGATAAAAGGTCAAACGTTTCTTTGTTTTTTCTGTATTCAAAGAAGTAAAATTTTTCAACGAGATAAGATTTACAAAATGACAGATTTCAGACAATCAAATTTTTTGGGACAAATTTTGATGGATTGTCCAGAAGGATTCCAATTTAAATTGTCCAATTTAACGTGATTTTGTTTCAGTGGGAACGAATACAGCAAATAAGGTTAGCCATACCTTTAGCACCCGCCTACCTTAAGTGAGCGAATAGAAACAACATGCGTCTGCCCAAAAACAGTAGAATCAACATGAATTTATTGAAGAATAATGATATTCTTCAACCTTAGAAAATTTCCACTACAAAAGGGAAAGAAATACTCCAATATGGCTTTAGCGAAAAGCAGAAGAAAGCATTTCCTTTGCCAGTCACTTGCTGTGATAAAAAAACAAGAGGAATACATATTGTTCTGAAAGCGGAAGAATTTTAAAAGCTGCAACTTAAAAGTTTTTCTGTTGCTAAGTTATCTAAATGTAAAAGAAAAATGTTAATGAAACTAAGTACCTTGTTAGAGAAGATTAAGGGGATTACAAGAGAATCTTGTAGATAAGAAGGCAAATGAGAAAAATTAGCCAACATTTAGATGATCCGCCTTCTTTGAACAACAAATTCACTTCACTCAGATGATACTTCTGAAATTAACTCCAATTATATTAACGTTTCAGATAAAAGGAACGCAGGCTATAACGATAACAAGTTTTAAAAAGATTGCAGAGATTTGTCATTCTAGACATTATCTGTCGAAAAGGAAAATTTTGAAAAAAATTAAGTTTTCGCGAAAGATAGTGAGCCCAATTCGTATTTCTATGATAAAGAGTAGCCTTTCAAAATTTTTTTGCAAATGAAACACAAGATAAAACGTTTCTGGTTTTAAGTGACTTTGCTCTTGAAATTGAAGTTGGGATTTGTAGACAAAGAATTAACTTTTGGAGGAAACTATATTTTTCCCAAGTTCAAAACTGATTCCCACCATCGAATGTACTAGGATCAAGTAATTACAAAGATTAATACATAAACTTTGTATCATTCCTTAGAGAATATTTGCTTTAATTTACCGTCACACTAAAAGATGTTTCCAGTAACACATAAAAACAGTTTTTCTGAATCAGAAATGACTTCTATTTCCTCCTGTTAAGGCTTTCTCATAACAGACACATACAGAACTAAAGGTTTGTTTCCTTTGAGAGAGAACAGTGATGTAGATGTCATTTATGCAAGGCTTTGTATGCAGAAACGAAACTTTTGGATAAAATCGCTTGTTTGTAGGTTTCTGTCTAAAAAGGGTGTTTCAAAGAGTGCGTTGCAATTAGATTTAATTTGGAGCTTGAAATAAAAGCAGTAGAAAAATTGTTCAGCATTTCGCTGTTGCAGATTCTTGGGACATAAAAGTGCTTCCATGCGATTGAAACACATTGATTACATTCAAGTAAAATGGTTCAGTGACCCATTAACGTTAATAATCTGATCCAAAAATTCTTGAAAAGCACCATGACTTATCCACTAGATTGAATTCAAATTCAGTGAGTTTCTTAGCTTGGTATCTAAAATTTATGTTTTTGTTCACTCGTAATGGATAGATAATCTTTGAGAGAGATTTTCTAACCAGATATTAGTATCTTTAAAACAGATTGAAAAGGAGATATGATCCTAAAAGCAAAGGTAGCAGTGTTTTACCCGCTTGAATAAGGAACACCTTGGCCAAACAATCACTCTGGTAGATGTGTATAGAAAACTACTACAGGTTATTTTGTTCAATCAAAATCTATCGGGTGTAGCAATTGGCGTATTGGCGATGTTCGAATTATGCACACCTTGGTCTTAAAAGTCAAACGAGCGCGCAAGATGTCACTGCGACCTTTGAAGCACATAGATTTAGGCTGCTTTTTGACATTAGGCGTGATTATTTGTAGTAATTTAGCCGGTACTCCACTCTAAACAACAAATTCACATACCTCGATTTCATCCACCTCATCTAAACCATCATCTAAGCAATAGAGAAGGTCATCCGGTGATGGCCTGTATGAGCCTCGTCTTTCACCTCTGAATCCCTTACGAGACATTGCCAGCATGTCGCTATTATAGGACCCACCATGTTTAGAAGTATTGTAACTTGAATTATTCCGGCTCATTTTACAGGCTTAACCTTGCTGCAGTGTTGGCAACGCTAAACGCTATATCGCTACATGCTACGACTCTTGGCATGCATTATAAATGCTTTTGCTACCCTGCAAATGCTAAATATACACCAGGTAATTGAAAATGTGAGTACGTTTGCGTTAAGCCAATAGTCAATAAAAAATTACAACAACAAAGAGGTATAAAATACAATCCACCGAAGAAAGGCCGGTATCTCGATAAACAGTTTTGTCAACGCAAATAGAAGGGGGATCGTACAGCGTATGATTTTTAATGTACTTGATTCGCACATGAAATGTGAAGCGCAAACGTAAGGAATTCATAGTCACAAAGAATTTTTAAAGTTATTTTTACGGCACAGAAGGATCATGGAAGCAAAAATGGGAAAAAAGTTTTAAATAAACACACATGAAAAAATATGATGCCAAGATAATTGATGAAAAAGCTATAGTTTCCGAAACCAGAAAATGCACATGAAACCACATGCTTCTGTTAAACATAAGATATAGAAAAATTGAAGCAGATTTTGTCAAACCTGCATAAGAAGAGAGAGGGCGAAATGGTTGAGTTGAAGAGGAGAAATATCTGACGAGATACCGTGTAGAAATACCGTGTAGCTGTAGCGCGAGACAAAGAGGTATTTGAAATATGCTCGTTTTTGCCCCCGTCTTATAGCAGCCAAGCTAAAGCTAGCTGTAAATATTTGAAAACTAATTTGAATAGGTAAGATTGGCAAATTACAGGGAAAATTACGAAGTTTGCTAAATAGGCTATGAATAATAAATATAAACTAAAAAGACGGAAAATTCAATTGCTAGTATTATAATCAAGAACAGGATTATCGAGTAAATATTTACTTTATAGAGACAAATGCATCGATATGAATCATTGTGTATGATCTACACAACAACGCTTTACTTTTTCACTATTTACCATTTATGTGAAAAAACGCAAAATTTTTGCTTCTTGATTTCGATTGCACACAACAATATATTCTTGATGCCTAATTTCATCTTTCTAATGATTTCAGTGTTCATTTTTTTAGGAAATAATCTTCCGAGAAATTTTGCTATGAATTCGAGCATCACCTTTTATAGAATAATACAGAGCTACTTCCCAACTTATCTTAAGGACGAATAACAAATCAAAAACAGAAACAGAAATTAAGATCGCGATTAGAGCTTTTTCCAAATTAGCAAAGTGAAGGGCAGCAGAGAATGTAGCGTAAGATGATTAAGTGAATTGTTTGAAGCCGATTCTTGGAATTTTCAAAAGGGTGAAACCCCCTGAGCCCCTCTCCCGCAGTCCTATTTCGAATGCCTAGATATACACTTCAAGGCAGTTATTTTGCGTGACAACCCTCGGGCACTCCTGTAACAATTGATGTTATGCTGTTTAATGCTACATAATGCTGAGTCATATAAGCATATGTACATAAGACACTACCGATGTAATGGGCTTTCCCATATAACGTTGACTGATATACGTTTACGCTTGGCAGGTTTTACTATACATTCGTGCCACCAATCACATGTTCGGGTGTTTGCAGAATAGCGGTGTCCAAGATTGTTGTATACTTCATAAGTATAACTTCTATAACCAAGAATTAACCTACATCACAAAGCGGCAAAGTGTAGCCTTCAACTGAATACAACATGAGCCGCATTAGTGAAAAGCAGGTAACTCAAAAAAGCAGCAGACTCACTATTGATAATTCCTCTCTAAATCGCCATTTTCAAAACAGAAATTGGACACGAGTACGATCTTATAATACTAACTATCTTATTTCGATCGTCTAGTCAAGATTGATTTATTCAAATGCTAGGCCCTTCAAACACTGATTCCCTGAAAAAACATTTTCAAATACTCTAGTTTTCAAACTCTTCTGTTTTCAATATTTCCCTTTTTATATCAAGGTACTCTTAATTTGGCTTCAAGCAACATTACAGTCGATAATGTCCTCTGCATTCTCCTGATGCACAAAATAATTAGTACAAATGTTAAAACATACATACGGAAGAAAAAGACGAAGATATTAGAGCACGCCCCTGCTCATTGAGCGTTGCTGATTTTGTATGTAGCGTTTGTAAACATCAACCAGAAGCTTACTTTCTTTAAGAAAAGGCAAGAATCAGATTTGTAAAAAGAGCGCATTTGGTTTAATAAATGAAATATTGACCTGATGGCTGTCACCATGAAAAGGAAATAGCCTGTCACTTTGAAATGAAAGAACAACCCACTTTGTAAGCTTCAGTCCCAGGCCTTTTGTCAATTAATGAATTATTAAAAGATAGTAAAGTAAACAAAATTTACAAAGCAAATAAAAATGAGCTATGTTATTATATAAACAACCTTGGTTTTTAAAAAACATGGTGTCAGATGATGTTTTTAGCGTTGATGAGTCGGCATATGGCTAATTAACACTACTTTTGAACAATTGCTTTTGTTACAGTTTCACAATCACGCAATTCATCGCTGGCATCAATCGAGTATAGACAGCTTTACTTATTTAAATGCTTTCCTTTCTATGAATAATGGCCTGTTTATATTTGCTTGCTCTCCTCGGTAAATTCTCCTATCAAGTTCAACTTTGAAATTTGCACACCTCAAAGTCTAAATTCTTTCTACTATATTCTTTCTCACATTCATTTCGGTAACGAAAATTAAGAAACTGCTTTGTGGAAACAATTCCTATTCTAATCCAACTAAGTTATCTTAAAAATGGCTTTGAAAAAAGCAAACATTTTACAACATACTTAAAGCTTTTTCGTCTGACACTCCTCAGAGCATAAAACGTCAGAATAGGTTCTGAAAAAACACGATGGAAAAATATATACCCAGTTGTGGATCGAAATAGGCCAATCAGAAAAACGCAAGCACAAGACCGGTATAGTTGACCAATCAGTGCCGCGAGCCTAAAGAAAAATTACCAATGGAGTCCAAGAGAGAAAACGAACTCCTTTTGTCTACACAATGGCGGCTTTTTCGTTTTTATGTAGATTATTTCGTTTATAAGTTATCTTAGCTTGCACAAGGTCAAATTACTATGCTAAATAGAATAGGAACAAGGTCGCATACTTGTTCTACTCTGCTTGGAAATTTGAAAACAGCACAGAAGAGCGGTAAAGAATTGCACTGACAATGGTATGGTATGTTTCCGCTCTTCCGTGCTAATTTCAAAGACAACAATCAGAGTCGCTGCAAAGACTTTTGAACGTCCTGCTGCTATTGCGTGCTAATGAAAAATTTAATAAGCCTTTGGTACCAGCAAATTTGAACAGAACGGAAGAGCGGTAGAAAATTGCACTGACAATGGTATGGTATGTTTCCGCTCTTCTGTGCTCTTTTTATACTAGAAAAAACTACTGATAGTCTCTTTAAATCAAATACGAACTGAAGAAAAATCGTAAGCTGAAGTAATTAGAAGTACAAAAAAGAGTTTTTGAGAAAGAAAGAATGGTACTGTTGTAAGTTCTTTTAGAAACTCTAGGTTTTTTATACCATGAATTTTGTCAGGAAATAGATTCACTGTTTGCAATTTTCAAAGTAAACAGAAGATCAAAAGTAACTGTTTCTTTTACATTGCGTTTGTAAATGATTAAATTTTGTAGCTAAGCTTAATCTCAAGGCAAATCACTGGCTTTATTTCTGTTTCTCTCTAGTTCAATAACACGTGGTGGTAAATATTTGAAACGGGTAGGATTATAAACATTGACCAAGCGACTAGCAAAATATTGATGGACATTATATTTGGAGAATGTTAGCTCGAATGTAACGTTTCTGATAAATTTAGATGGCGGGTTCTAGCTGCAGTCAAGAAAAAGAAAAACAGACAATTTGTGCAGCTCGAAGAGACATTAACAGCCTTATTTACTGCTTATTTTGTAAAGTGGAATTGACCCTTTTGTAACTGAATAGTCTTAAGAAATACGTATGATGAGTATAATGTGTGAAAAAAGAAAAGGGGTACAAAAAAAATTAGAATAGGGCTGGGAATGAAATACAGAGGAAAGGTACAGAATCTAAACTACAATTCCAGGATTTTTGGCGCAAACTGAATACCTAAATGTAGCACAGAAAGAAACTTAAACTTTACTATTCTTTTCATTAAATGAATGAAGAAGGATTCAAAGTTGCCTGAATCTTAAGTCGCCAAAGAGACGTTGGAGACGTCGATGTTCCATTACGATCCCCTGCATATTTCTGAAAATTTTATAGTCGTGACATGAACTCTTCTTGAAATAGTATTACAGCTATTTGGCAAAAGAATCTTCAATGGATGTATACATAGCAACTTAGTTAAAAACTAATTTCATCATTAGCTAAAATGATTAATTACCTTATCAATTAATTTATTCATAAATTCATTCATAAACTCATTCATCAATTCACTCAATGAATCATTTCCTCATTCACTCGTTTATCAATTCATTCATTCTTTCACCGATTCATTCAATAAATCAATTATTGATTCATTCTCTCAGTAATGCATTCATTAAGTAAATGAATCACTTACATATTTATTTGTTAAATTGTTTATTCATTTTGTAAGATTATAAGGATATTTACTAAAAAATTTTCATTAGAGTTGTTATGAATGAATTGACTGAATAAGAGTGAATTAACTGGCTCTAGGAGTGCAGGAATTTTTTTTCATAACGCATTGAAATCTGAAGAAAAGTTTCGTAAATGCATCCAGGAATTCGTGATTTCATTTTCTAGGTTAGTGAATAAGTTAGTTAAGTTGGTACCTGTCTTGAAGGTTCATTTCCTCGCTGATACCTTAGGTGTCCGAGCCACATAAATTCGAGCACTGGGATAGAAGATAAGAGCGGCGAAGCGAAGGAGCTTTTCTTCTTTCAAGATAGATGCTCCTTCGTTTTTCAGCTCCTTTCTTCTGTTAGACTTACTCCATGAGCCTTTGTTTCGCTACTGCCTCACTTGACGGACGCTACAACAGAGGCTCCGTTGTAGCGTCATTCAAGTGAGGCAGTAGCGAAACAGAGGCTTATGGAGTAAGTCTAATCTTCTCTTTCCTTGTTCGAAATTTTGTTGCTCTGGTACCCTGGGTATCCTGCTGTATAATTTCTTAATAGTTAGCAAGCTAAGAATAAAAATCATATGTAGCAGAAAATCCTACCCTGTAGCTGTCTTTGGACGATGTTTCAGAGTCCGAGTCAGAATCATAATGGTAGTGATCTGTTTCGAAGAAGGAATTTCTTTCATTTGGCATTTTGACTGGTATCCAGGTAGCAGCAACAGGATTTGTATGTTTGCTTTGAAAGAAATAGGGAGCATTAGAAACGTAAGTGAGCATATAACATCAGCAGCTCAAAAATATAACAGTTTAACGCAGTTTAAAATTTTGCCCAACTTTCATAAAACCATTTTTTGAAGATAGTAAGAGTTTTTCTGAAATCTGCAAATAGGGTCATGATTTCATATAGCTTTATCAGTGCAATTAAAAAGTTTCATCGCTATATGAAATTGTCGTATCTTTTGTAACTAGACTATCATGTATTGGAAAATACAGCAATACATAATAAACTTTGACCTTTAAGAAAATTTAACTTGAATGTAATTCGAACTTCGTTGATGAAGACAAACACCAATTTTATGAAATGGTTTAGCTTAGCTCACATTTATTTCGCCCTAAAAGTCTTAAGTTAGTTAAAAGGAAATTTAGCACCTTTTCGTAATATTTTCAAGCCATAGCCACCTTGACAATTATTGTTGCCAAGCAACAGGTCAAATGTCTACTGTCTGATTGTCTGCCATAACCTGCAGTTAACTAACAGTATTTTTTATCGATTTTTCAGAGTTTCAAAAAAACTGTTAGAGAATCAGAAAAACAAAAGGGTGCTGTTAACTTCTAACGTAGTGATATAACACGACAACACAAGAAAATAGTGTGAATACATTATCAGCAACTTTCAGGCTAACAAGATGATGCAATGTGAAGCTATCGAAATCAAAGCTCTTTCTGTTACCTGAACCAATAAGTAAAAGAAAGCCGCTTAGCAGTTTAAACCTTTAGAGCAAGGTAATAAAGGCTCGAGTGTTTTTTTAAGAATGGGTAAAATAACAGCATCTAGAGCTTCCAAAAGATGCCTTTATCTAAAAATTAGCTTACAAAGCTCGTTTAAACCACTTGGACACACCCAACAACTTCAGTCGATTATGATCTTTTATCCAATCACCCATACAGAAATAGCTGATTTGCCCCCTTCCCCAAGAAAACTTGTTCGAAATTCCCCTCCGTCAACTTAAATTCAAAAAGTTATGTTTTCTTTGAAAAGTGCATATACGTGGAGAATAATCAAGGGGAAAATTCTTATGCGAATCAGAAAAATGATGTTGGTTACATGAATTCTGACAGGCATTGTAGTTTTCTATACGCTAGTTGAAATTTCCAAAAGAGATTGAAACAGCAATAGCTGTTAGATGATTGAATCTTCAATTCAAACATGATTCAGAACTCTGTATGTACAACAACAAAAATGGCGGATTTTGCAATAAACAAGGTCCCTGCGTCCGCGTCTCTCGGTGTTCTGTGGTTACTTTGCGCATGGCAAGTACATTTTCCCTATTTGTTCAACTTCAGAAGAACCCGACAAGAGATTGCAGTCGAAGAAGTGTAATGAATTTGATTTCTGTTGCAGTTGCCATGTTGCAAGATGTTTATGTCTTGCAGGGTACGCTTATCTGAAGAATTCTACTGAAGACTAAAGAAAGCTTAGACTGCGCTGGATTAAAGTACGCTGGATTACTGCTTATCATTCTAAAGCAGATCTGGACATCATTAGGCCCGCGGGCCACATCCGGCTCTTTAGACGTTCCTGTACGGCCCGTTTGAGTACGATGTCCATCAGAACATGACCATTTGTATTTTCCCACTGACTTACACCAAAGTTTCATATATTTACGAAATATCTAGATCTTTCAGCTAGTAGTACCAGCAAAAATATAGTATAATTTGTTTATTTTCATATTGGGGGAAAATGAATATTGTGCAGAATAAAGTCATTGTTGGTTCGGCCCTCCCATCCCGTTCAGTTTTCTAGTATGGACCTGTAGAAAAATCAATTGCCCAATCGGGCTTTGGTTATCATGCTAAGTCAAGGTATGATGCTTGATTCAGTAGCCTAGGCTTTCTTTGGCAATACCACATTGTACCCAAGCTAAAACAGTAAGTGCACCATTTGGATTCTTTTCTAGAAACTACCCGTACAAGAGGTCAATCGCAGAAACAAAGATTTGGAACAATGGAAGGGTGTTGGTTTATTTAGTATTGTGCATACATGCTAATCGGTGTTATTTTCTTTACTGGCAACTCTACTTGATTGCGGGAAGAACCCTTCCTTTGAGATATAAAAAACTTTTCTATACCATTTTTCTGAAATGTTCAAATGCAGAATGCTCCAGGCATTTTGGCACTGATGTATCACTTAGGAACATAATAAATGACGTTGAAAGGGGGATATTCCCATTCAGTTTAATCGCTTTGATCAATAATTTTTATTCTTTGCTTGAAACACAGTCAAGATTGTTCTCTATCCTGAATGTCCCTTTGTATATAAAACTCTTATGTTTCGAGCTTTGAATAATTCAAAGAATCTTTCTCCGACAGTTTGAATTATCGGGGCGTGACAGAATCCATTTTTTGCATATAGCATGTCCTTATGGAGCTATCTGTAAGTTAATCATTGAAGCTTATCGCTTGCAAAACTCATCGATTAAATCAGCATTCAAGATAGTGAAGATATAGCGTTTTAGGTTATCATGATCATTTAAGATTATATACAGCAATCAGCGAATAAACAGTGACGCAATTCTTTTTTCTTGCTTGTGATATTGCATAATGGAACGTAATTTGGTAAGTGAACTTCCAAAGTGTCATACAACGCTGTTTTGGTGCGTTTAAAGATTGGTCAAAATTCATCTTTCGTCTCAACTGTAGCTCTTTCAGTTCTACACTTTCTTATGGATATACTAAAAGACTGATTTTGTAGATTTTTAGTGTTCTAAACAAAATGGGCCTAATATTGCTCGTAGGCATTGATATCAACAATTAAATTTTCTTCCAGCCCCATTCATTTGGATGCTTGAAAACACTCTAAAGCTGTGTAATTTTGAAATATTTTCTAAGATCACCAGATGACTTTAAATAATACATCAAAGCAAAAATTATCTATAGCTTTTATCTTCTACTGAAGGCAAAATCTGCATGGTTTTTTCTTTACTGCTGCTTGGAAAACAATTTAAAACAGTACAACTTTGGAAAATCTACCTTGATCATCAATGACTCTTTGGCAAGTTTGTGAACCCAAGCGGATAAGCTTTTCAGCTTTTCATTTCAAAGTTCAAGCACAACATTGGCTTCCATCTATACTGCTTGTAACAAAAATCCGCCATTCCTTCGTATGTTTCTGCATGTGATACACCGATTAAAAATTGATTGTTCTGGATCTGACTGGTTTTGTTTTATGGTTCATTACTAGTTTTTCAACTGGTATTAGAATTCAGAACAGGGCTGCTTACTGCCGGGTGGTAGTTAAAGTGTAGAAAGTTTATAAACATTCATTATAGTCGAACATGCTGACTTCACGCAACCATACGGGGAGTTGTATTCAAAAAGCAAGCTAAACTGCTGAAATTTCAGTATAACGATGACCCTGCAGAGGCAATTCATCTTGTTATGAGTCAGCCGCCTGCTTTGTTTGTAGCGTTGTACGTCATATGGTATGAAAGAAATTACGTCAGATTCAACCGAGGTTTTGCGAACAACGCCTCATGTTCCTCTTTTCAAGGATTGGCACATTATAACTGGGGCTCAGGAAAGCTTACTGCCACAGGCCTTGATATTGAGACATAAAGATTTCTTAGGAGCTCAAAACATTTTGAATTACATATACTTGTAAGCAAACAGTGGTTCTCTTGCTGCTTTAGAATTATGAGACACTGGTCAAATAACGTAAGAATTCAAAAAAAGATGTTAAAGTCTTTTGAGCTTTTTGAATGACGTCATCAAAGTTGTTAGGTTGACGTCACCAAAGGCTTGCAAACTGAATACCCCGTAGACAACTAATTGTATAATTTTTGCCAAATGTTAAAGTTTTTTAATTTCTTAAGCGTTCTATGCTTTCATCCTGATTGTATGGTTACGTGAAAAGGAGAACGACGTCTTGCTCTCATTTCTAAAAACCTACAGAAGTCCGACCTAAGTTCCTTCATGGAACTCAGTCTTTGAAGTTGGTTGAATTCTGTTTGGAAAAAGGCCTGGGCCGAGAATACTTAAGAATGCGCATGCCTAAAATGATATTGAGGAATATTTTAATCTCCAGGCAAATGGTGGGGGGGGGGGGGCAGGAAATGAGCCGTCTAGCAACACGTTGTTGCATTTAGACATTGAATATTCAAACATGGGCTGAACCAGCCCTAGAGATTGTATACTAGAGCCAGAGTCTTAAACAACTCTATTTTAATTCAGTGGAATCTTCTAGGCATTCAAAAATTTTGGT